ACTGTTTTAGGACAAAGCACAGGCAACTCTGATGGGAATGTACTCCTTTAGGGTACTGTGTCAGTCATTTAAATCCCAGCACTTGGGAGGCAGAGGCAAGTAAGTGGCTGTCTGTGAGTTCGAGGCCAGCCAAGGCTACTTAGAGAAACCCTGTCCAAGAAAAGAGGAGGCGTAAGCCACATAGACAGAGTAAGGGAAATGCAGCCAGAGTTCTGTTCTCGCAGGCCCTTTCACGTGGCCAGCTCTACCACCACAGAGAGCCTGCTCCCCTCTGCCAGCTGGTGACCCTGTGTTTGTCTCCTTTTGTAGAGGATCTGACCTCAACAACTTTGGGGCTGCACCCCAGCAGAAGAAGCTGCAGGCAGAGCTCTCCGACCTGTCAGCCATGGAAGACGCCTTGGATGAGTTGATTAAAGACTGTGCTCAGCAGCTGCTGGAGTTAACAGATGACAAAGAAAATGAAAGATATCCTTCCTTTCATCCATAGCCTTTTTAGAATTTCTGCTTCCAGAGTAGACGGTGTATTAGGGAGAACTTAGGGATTTAGTTTACATATTCGGGATATAAAATTAGGCCCTTAAAAGTTGGAGTAATTAAATTTGGTGCTGTAGCCTCCATCCTACACAAGCAGTCATGTTAGCTGTGGTTTCTTTGTGCACCTTGGTCAAGTCTGCATGACAGCAGTTGGTGGTGACAAGCCCAGCTTGCCATTGCTACATAAATTAAGGAGGTGTTGGTTTTGTATTTTAATTTCTGTAGCCTCTGTCCTGATGTTAAAATGTTTGTCAGCTTTTGTGAAAGTCAGATTTTTCCTAATTTGTGAGGTAGTTTATTTCTGAAGCAGAATGCACTACGACCAAATTAGTGTCTGTACTCAGCACTCTGTGTAGAAGCTTCCTGGAGCAGGCACCAGAAGAGACTGGCTCTCTGCACCTGGTTCTCCCAGGCCCCCAGACTGTCCAGCTCTCTGTGACATTCAGTGTCCTCTGTGAGTGTCAGTAATTCTGAGTTGGCCCTGGATTCCTGCTCCCCCCACTCTCCACAGCAGTCAAATCCTATTACCACAGAACAGATCTTAGAAAATCTGAGCCAGGGCTTGCAGTGCCACAGCCAGCCAGAGAGTCTGTAGTCTGAAAGAAAGGAAGGCAGAACAACTGCACTGAGTGACAGCTGTGTCTGGCAACACAGGAGCAGCTGAAAGGCATTCGGCAATTCAGTCAGTGTGCTTAAAGGGAGATGTCTGGTGCATGGCAATACTAAGAACTTCCTGGGAGCTCTTCCTGTTTGCAGACTTGGTTTTCCCTGCTGTCTGGAGGATGCTTACCCAAACAGGGAATGCTTTTTTCTCAAGTTCTCATAGAGCTAACTCTAACAGTAAGTGAGAATTTACACTGAATGTACTGGAGGTGGGGATTTGATCAGAGTGAATTCCCCTTTCCTGTGGCTTTGCTTTCCGTAATCTCTGCTGCTCACAATCAGCTATGGTCTAAAAATATTAAGGAAAAATTCTAGAAGTTTTTTAAATAACTTGCAGTATGCTGTATGTTGTAGTTGTGCTCTTATTGTTTATTTCTTACCGTGCCTGACTTATAAATTTAGCCTTACTGCCGTACTATATGCATATGGAAATGCACACTCTATGTAGGGTTTGATATTGGACAGTGGCTTTAGGCATCTGCTAGGAATTTGTAACATCCACCCCTAACCCCACCCCAAGGACAAAAGGATAACTACCTTCATGGGTTGTGTTTATGTTCAAGATTGAGGCTTTATTAATATTTTTCTCCAGAAATTGTTATAATCAATATTTGGTTTAAAGTTCTTTGAGTTACAAATATATAAAACGCCATAAAAATCTTAAGAATCCTTTTTGAAATAATTATTATGAAGCTTTTTTTCTGTCTCCCTTCATTGTCAGGTTGTATTCCATAAAAGCTACTCTTGAACCTGCATTCATGTAAGAGACACTGATGTGTCCAGTGGTGCACGCCTTCATTCCCAGCACTCAGAAAGCAGAGAGAGGCAGGTCTCTGAAGTTCTGCTGGCCTCTGTAGCAAATTCCAGGCCATCCAGTACTAGATAGTGAGGCTTGGCCTCCAAAAACAAACAAAACCAGAAAGACGGTGTTGAGGGGTAGCGATCTGTCCATCTTATCAGATCCTTGACCAGGTTTCACACTAGCATACGTAACCTATCAGGATATCCACGGCATTCAAGCTTTCCACGAACAGATTGTCATTGCAGTGAAGGCTCCAGAGGAAACCAGACTGGATGTTCCGGCTCCCAGAGAAGTAGGTATCACTGCACTGCAGAAAGGATTTAAAAAGGGGTTAGCTGCTACATCAGTGACCACTATGTCACTTCTTACTGTGTGCTTGTCAAGCTCTACACTATGAGGGAGGTAATCTTTGTAACCTCAGAGATGAGAGGGCCAAGCCCAGAGAGACAGGACTGCTTCAGGAGCAGACACAGTGACCAGCAAGACCAAGCGTAGGACCGGGGTTTGGCTTGTAGGCGCTCTCAGCCGTGCTGCTGCTGGCGGGCTGTGGGGGAAATCATAACATTGGCCTTGGGCTTCAGATTCCAAAACCTGGTACAGTCAGAGCTTTGGTGAGCTCGCCAAAGACTAAGAATGAGCTAGAACACTGGGTCACAGATGTACAGCTTTCATAAGATCAGCCTTCGTGTTGGCTACCAGCTGCTCCAGGAAAGTTTGCATTGAGTGTGCTTGTCACCAGAAGGCCACTAGGTGAGAATAGGGTCAAAACCAAAGCCGATGGCCCTTCTTAGCACAGACCATGAAGTTCTAACAGCTGGGTGTCCCCCAACGCTCATACCCAGCCCTTCATCGAGAAATATTCGCACTGTCCTCCTTTCTCTTGTTCCCAGTAGAAGTGAGACTCTGTTACCTGACAGTGGATCATTAGTCATGAAGGAGTGCTAGCTTTTTCCTCAGCCACATCCAGATTGTGACTTGGTGACATTCCTTAGTGTGATTTGGATTTAGACAAGTACCCAGAACATAATGAGGATGAGATATTCCACAGATGCTGAAGCCCTTTAAAATCAAATAGCCACTAATCTTGCAGCGCAGCTTTTCTTTGGGCCATGGCTAATCCATTCCACAGGAATTAATAGGGTTTGGTTTCCAGGTGCTCTGGGCTGCTTGACTGTAATTGTTAAGTCACTCTGAGCCTTTGAGCTCATTCAGAGCCTCTTTTGGTCCCATTAGAACTCTGTGATTGAGGTCCTCCAGGCAGGCTGTTCTCTGCAGTGTGCTGTGAGTGTACTCTGAATACATAAGGCTCTAGTGGGGACTGTGTGCCTAGCACATGGCTGCCACAGTGGCCTCCAACTCATCTGTCTTCCTACTTAGTTTTGTTGGAGCAAAGCCTTAAGGATCTATTTACATATCAGCTGTCTGTTTTATGCCAGCATGGCAAAGTTAAATAGTTGTAACGGACAGCATGGCCTGAAGAGTCAGAAATAGGTACCATCTCCTCCACCCCCTTTTTAAACATTTTTGAAAACTTACATGTATGTGTGTAGGTATGTGCACCTCAGTGCAAATGCCCAGGGAGGCCTTGGCGTTGGCTCCCTTGGAACTGGAGTAACAGGTGGTTGTGATCATCCTGATCTGGTACTAGGATCCAAACCGGAATCCCCAAGAGGAGTACACACTCTGAGCAGTGAGCCACCTCTTAGTTCCCCAGGAATCCCCTTTACAGAAGGCTTTTAGTGGCTGCTGGACTTTGAAGTTCTTTCTACTGACTGCCAGTTGGGAACAACATTATTTTCTTGCATTATTTGATGATGAAAGGTTTCCATTTAAATGAGACCTGCCCCGACACTCCAGCCACCAAGTACAAAGGTGGTCAGTCTGTCTCACCTGCCTGGTACCAGGAAGGACATAAGAGGTTTAGAGCTCTTTAAGAAGCAAGTCACACCCAGCTTGCTTGAATGAGATCCCAGAGTGGAAAGGAACTGGAGCAACAGTGATGTCTAGCCTGGCCTCTCCCTGTGGATGCAGAAGTGGGGGACTCGAGGAGAGCCAGGCTAGCTCCCAATGGGAAGGACAAGGAGGCACAACTGAAAATGCCCCTTACACATTTAGCCTCTAAACACAAATAATCGCATTTTTCATTTCTTATGAGAAAACTATTGGAGTTTGCTCCTGGGTAAATACGACTGAGGTAAAAGGATAACATTCATTTGTGTATGATGTCTCAAATTCCACGAGGCTTGTTTTGATTTCATCTTTTCCTCTTGCATCTTTTGACTGGACAAAGACTAGCCTTCCTGTGACCTCAGTACCTCTGCACTGGTTTGGAAACCCAAACAGTTGTTACTCCAGAGCTCCTGGCACCAGAGGAGAACTTCTTTGGAGGACTTTGGAGCTTTGGAGAACGCAGCTATCCCTGTGGTAGCTCTGAGACCATTGCTGCTCACGTGATTAAGCAGAGGTCTTAACTGTGAATTGGCCAGTAGTTTTAAATGGAGTGACAATTGAAAGCATGCTTTTCTCAGATGCACAGTAGAAAGGAAACTACAAGAATGTAAGTTAACTGATCAGCTGTGATTGGTGGATGCCGATGCTCACCGTGACAGTCTCTGTGTCCTTCGCCAGGATTCTATCACAGTACATATCAGGAGCACCAAAGGACCCATTGATGTGTATTTGTGTGAAGTAGAACAGAGCCACTCAAATGGTAAAGCAATTGATGGAATGGGGGCCTCTCCATCCAAAAGCAAACATCCACAATGCCCAGAGAAAGGTAAATGTGCCAATTTCGTGATCATAGAAATATTGAGGTTCTAACACTTTCTTATATGTAACTTGAATATGTATCTTTTAAGGGTCTTTATGATTATTTTTAATTGTGTGTGTATCTGTAGGTATGTGCACATGAGTGCCTTGGAGGTCCAAGGCGTTGAATCCTCTGGAGCTGGAATTACAGGCACTCGTGAGGGCTGGGTGCTAGAAAAGGAACCATGGGCCTCGGGAAGGGTGGCCGCAGCTCTTCACTGCTGGGCCATCTCTCCAGCCTCTGTTTAAGATATTTCCATGCCTCCTATATTCCATGCATTCCTGAAATCCCAGCACTGGGGAAGCTAATTCAGGAAGATCCAAAGTACAGTCCAGCCCCAGCTACATAGTGAGAGCCTGCCTCCACATTCCACATCATTGTGGTACAGTTTTGTGAGGGCACCAGCTGGTAGACACTGAGCAGAGGGGGCTATCTGGCTCTCAGGCAGGTGCTTTCCAACCACAGGCTGGAGTGTATGTTTGTTCCGTGAGCCTGATCATTTCGTCCGCTGGTGTGAGAGTAGGTTCTTGAGCAGAGGACTTCATTTCTTTAAGTTGTTGAACTGTGTGCTCAGCTGTGATTACAGCCTTCCCTCAGCATTTCTCTGTGTCTCATTTCAGAAGACAAGCCTCCTCAGTGAGTGAAGAACTTCTCAGAGTGAGCAGCTGATAGCAGTGCAGAGTGACAAAGGTCTTTGGAGCATCCCGTGTGGGTGAATCATGTGCCCATTTGCTCCTCAGCAGTAAGTCTCCTCAGAGTGCTCCTGTGCTCTTTCTAAACTAGTCGCAGCACTGAAGACCCATCGTGTTCTCCCAAGTAGCCTCCATCATAGGTTCCTGGATGGGTTCCCCATTCTGAATCAGCTCTTTCGATAATTCTTCACTGTCTTTTGTCAGTGAAATAGACCTCTTGCCTCCTGAAATCATTTCATCACAAAGACTAGCACAAGGAAAGACAGCTGGCCAGCTGCTCGTGGACTGTGCCCTGCCCTGATGGATAGCGTTTGCTTCACAGAAGAGTTGCCTTACACTGGTTCACATTTGCAGTTAGATGTTGTGCACTGGTGAGGTGTACACATGGGGCCAAATGTGGCGCCTTTGTATATATCTGTATCATGTTTAGATTGCTTATGAAATATGTCTAAGTGACATTTATGCCCTAGGACACCCAAAATAATGTATGTAGGGAAAATGACAGACAGATCTCTAGTTCCTCGGTCCCTGTAACTTATTAGAACCCTCTGGATGGGAGCGAGAGGAGTTTTCTAAAGTTTTACATGTAGAAGTTTCACAGATGCCTGTATATTTAGGTTCATATACTTAAAGTATTTTAATGTGGTCCCCAGTGCTACAATCGGAGCCACATACTTCTTGATTTTAAGTTGCCTACAGAGTCATCATGTCCCAGTAGATTTACGACATGCCTCAAAGCATTGGGGGCAAATAGAGAATTCTGTCTGGCAACAGATCAGTTCACTACAATGTGGATTTGGTCCTGGTGAGATTAAAAGCATTATTACGCTTTTTGTGAGCAGATTTTATACTGTTTCTGTGGTCAGCCTTGCTCCTCGGTCAGAGGGCCTTACCGCCTGTGCATTGTACCCCTCTCCAGCTCTCATCCCGCCTTCCCAATCACCTAGCGCTCTACCTCAGTGGGTAAGTCATTTACCTCTCTGTGCCTCTATTGACTCAGTAATTTACCACTAGACTGTGAGCTCCATGAGAGACACTCCCAGCGCCTTGTACCACCACGCCTAGTCCAAAACAAGTGCCCAGTGAATGTCTAGCAAACTCGTGAGTGGGCGAGTGCAATGTGGGGCTGATGGAACCTGGCTTGTAGTTGTACAGGAGTCTGGGAAGCACCATTAGTGTGTTAAACCTCTCTTGCTTTATAAAAGATTGGAAGCAGCTTGAAATAACAATCATGTATACAAAGTAGGGATCCAAAATAAAGGATTAAAAAGACAGTGCTGCCTGCCTGGGGTTTCTTATTCACACAGTCTGAGCCTGGCAACATGTGCTGCTGTATATAAGGTTTCTGGAAACTACCATGTTTGACCTCCAGAGGTTCCTTCTTTCTTATGTATAAAAAGTTGTTTGAAATTAGCCAAAGAAAGGCTTAGGGCAGTGGTTCTCAACCTTCCTAATGCTGCAAGCCTTTAATACAGTTCCTCAGGCTGTGGTGACCTCCATCCATAAAATTAATTTTGTTTTTACTTCATAACTAATGTTGCTACTGTTATGAATTATTATATAAATATCTGTGTTTTCTGATGGTTTTAGATGAACCCTGTAAAAGGATTATTGGACACCCCCCAAAAAAAAAGGGTCATGACACACAGGTTGAGAACTATTGTCTTAGAAGATGCTCCATTTCCTCATTGGACTGGTGACATGATTTGATAAGACAGAATAATGCAAGAGAAATAGCAAGTGGGTGACATTTATACTTCAGACATGTTTGAGGGAAGGGAAAGTTGTAGAATTAAGTATTAATTTATTAACTGAAGGGTTGCTTCTTGCCTCAATGGTTTATGTTCCTGAATGAAAGACACATGTACAGCCTTTATATTTTAATATGCCTTACGTAGCATAATAGCTGGGCAACTGCCTAGCCTCCATGCCAATAATCCCAAGTTACTGCTTACTAAATTCTGTGTTCTGTCTTGGCTGCTCTAGACCCAGTTGGGCAGCGCTCTGGGCCACACTCTCCTGGCTCCTTCACAGGGCAGCCATGCATCTCTGTCCTACACTCTTCTCAGGCATGCTGTCTCTCCACACTCTCCCAGCAGGTGGATCTTCCTATTTCTCTTCCTGGTCCCAAGCCCAGGAATCCTAAAGTCCCACCTCTGTCTGTCCTCCCAGCTATTGGCTATTGGTATCTTTATTTACCAGTCAGAACCAACTGGGAGCAGGTTCCCAGAAGCTACATGCAGATCTTCTCATGCAAACAATTTGGGGGAACATAATTAGCATTCATAATACAAGCAGCTACAGAAAGTTCTAGCATCTTCTGAGTTCTTCCCTCCAGGAAGAGCTGAGCTTTGTAGAGTGCACTGGCAGATCTTGGTTCATGTGTGATGATTAGAACCAGGAGAGGAGAGGACTTCATCTGATAAGAGTATCAGCAAAGAGCAGGGTTCCAGAGCAGGCAGGTCTATAGAACACAGAGGAAAGAATAATTGAAAGGAGGGCGGCTGCAGAAGTTGTGGCTATGGTATCCTTTGGAAATGTTAACACTGACTAGTCCTCTTAGTAACATGATACCAGACAAATCCTGACCCATCAGAGACTTGAGCATGAAGAAATCCAAGTCCAGCAGAGGTCCAAGGTCTTAACATGGCTTCTGTTCTAGCTGTAGGAAGTCTGATAAAAGCTGGAACTGGAACTAGGAAGAGGGCTCTATCTCATGCCTTCCATTCTACTGCTACCAGCTCGTAACACAACCTGCAGCCCGCAAGAGAAGGGTAGGGGGTGTGGTTTACAGATCCCCAATCC